ACTTTTACTGATACTGGTGAGCAGAGTAATGTTAGTGAATTTAATTCTTTTTTCACAGACTGGTGAGTTTTTTGTTTGTTGTTTAACGCCGCATCCAGCAATATTCCAGCTATATTGTGTGTGTGTGTGTGTTATGGGGTGTCTGTAAATAATTGAGTCTAAAACCAGTGATCAACATCATGAACATTAATTTACGCATTTTTGGACGTGTCAACCGAGTCAGCGAGCCTGACTACCCGAACTCGTGAGTCATCTCCTACGTTGAGCATGAGTTGCTGAAAGACCAATTCTAACCGCAATTCATCTCTTTAAATAATTATTATGAAAATAAGTGAAGCAACGCAACATTTCCTATGTAAACTTAAAGACGCTGCTAAAGGGAGATTCCCCCTGTCTGACTACGACTTTCTTGTAAGTATGACTAAGAATAAACAAGCATTCATCTCTTTTATATTGTATGTGAACTGAATGTATGGCAAAGACTAATTACCAATTCACCAGCACACCTATCTATGTGCCCCGTTTGGTGTAGAAACATGGAACAGTTTTAGAGATCTGTTCCGGCAAAGAGCACTACCACCAATTTCAGTCACTGTATGAGTGAGTGAGTGAGTGAGTGAGCTAGTTAAGATTTAAAGTCACATCGGCAATATTTCAGCCATATCGTGACTAAAACTAGTTCTAAATTCATAATACATACCACAGTATGAGTAAGTGTGAGTAGGAGTAAACAAGTATTCAACTGTTTTATATTGTCCGCTATTGTCCGAATGTACGGCAAAGACGCATCTATTTACAAGCTGCACGGATGTGTCAAACATAAGCTATCAAATGACTGCATTAATTAAAAGCGTTTTAAGACTTTATTAAAATACAGACAAGGTAAGATAAGGTCTAAGTGTCTATGTGCTGAATGATACATATCGAAAGTAGACTAGCTTCACTACAGACCTTTTGGCTTACTGGCAGTGTATGTCTTCGACTTTACAAGGTGAAAGAATAACAGAAACAAAGGATGGATAGGTTCTGAGATGAATAATAAAGCCCCTACGTGTACATTTAAAATAGTCATCATCGAACTATTTTACCCAGATGTTGCTTAATGTATGTTGTGAGCCTAAACTAAATCAAACAAACTGATCGTTAGTTGCAAGATGAGGAAAGCAGATGTTTGTGTCGGTTGCCAGCAGAAAGGCGGGATGCTCTCATCGCATTGTCGATGCAATGTATAATCGTTACCTACACCACTGACACCTCTGACGTAAATGACTTGCTGTAACTTGTGGATTGGCTCGTGAACACCGTTCACTCAAATGGCATATGTGGACACCTATTTTGCGTTTAATGGCGCACTCATCAATATTCCAGCTGTGTGGCTCTAGTCTGTAAATAATCGAGTCTGGATCATACAATCCAGTGATCAACAATGACATGTGTCAAAGTAAGTCAGTGAGCCGGACCACCTGATCCCAGAAGTCGTCGCTTGTCTTAAGCATGGGTTGCTGAAGATCAGTTCTAACCTGGGTCCTCACGGATCCAATATTCTGACGTCTACCTGTTAAACGTAACACTCCAGCATGTAGCACTTGATTCATGATCTTAACTTTTCCTTCCCTAATGACTAAATGTGTAAAATATATTACGGTTCCAAGAAAACAACGTAAATCAGGCAGTCCACCTTGCATCTGCTATCAGGAGCCACATCATTCATGACTATGTTGTTATGGAGAACTATGAACTGTTCTTCTCGGTGGAACAGTTTTCTTCATTGCCTGATTTTGGTCCTATCGTGTGATCCCAAAACCTACTTTTTCGCATCTATTGGATGTATAATTTGTCTTTGAGGAAGGTTTGGTAGCCTAATGGTTTTCATTTTTATCACTCACTCAAGTAAAAAACAAGACATTGACCAAAATAGTGATGTGTCGATTCATTTTATTAACACAGAATTACTTCAAGCCATAAACCGCTACAGTAAGTTGGGCAGCTATTTGGATTTTGTGTCTATAACTGAATATTCAAGACGAAATGAGGGCAGCTCCAAATCCGGAATAAAGGTTTCCATAAATGTTCTGTGATCCTTTCCACTTTTCAAACCATACTTCATCCCCAGCAGAGAGATACATGACTGTTGTTATGGAAACAACGCCGTATACTGTTTCCTTTGAGGTCTCTGCATACCCTTTGCCTTTGATGTGGCCATTCTGGACTAGGTATATCTCCAGATATGATTCCACTTGATCTAGCATTACTTGAGCCCAGAAAATGTACGATCCAGACACAGGTGCTGTGAATATACCAGATGAAGCTTCAAATCCGCCACCATTGTTGTACAGTAACGTATCAAAAATGAGCTTTCCACCCATTTGCACAGAATGGATTTCCTTCTGTAGCCGTACTTCAAAGGCAACGTGTCTTGCACCAGATCCTGTATAAAGAAACATGAGTGACTTAGGGGGTGAAGTTCTAAATGTTCATTAAACAGGTGTTTGTTATGTCACAGTTTGCTGTCTTCAGAATGCAAGGGGAAACACAAGCGAGCATGGTATGACTTTGAGGTTAACACAGAAATCAATCTTGGGTTTGAGCCTAACCCAGTTCAAAAAACAGTTTGTGAATGTTGGCCATCTGATGAATGAAGTTCATAATATATACTCGGCGCCATTAAGGAATCAATCTATTGGTAACACTATTTCTTAAAAGTAAAATATTCATTTTTGAACTATACCCCTCTTTTAAAGTTTAGACTCACCTGAAACACTCAGTTTATGTTATGTATAAATATATGGTTACATTGACAATTGATTTCTCCATTAACTTGGGTGCATCAACTGCAAACTTTATGCGGATGAATTGCACGAGGATCATGCATCGAATTAGAGAAGAGCATGTGCAAATATCATGCACGTGAACAGCTGCGTTTTGCTGTAAACGTCTGTTAAGAATTTGCCAATGTTCACTGATATTTATCATTTACTGAACTGATGACAATAATCTTTTCAACGTTACGAATTTGTGTTACAATACATCAGTTCATGTGTAAATAGTACCTTAAAACAGTATGGAATATGTTGCAAAATTTAGTTTAGAACAGTTGCCTTAAGTGGCTCTATTTACACTAGTGAGTCTAAACTTTTGATGAGAAGTATATATACAACTGATTTACAAACATTCAATATGACAATTTCCACCTGCCGTTTAATGTCAATGATTTGCACGTGCAAGTCACTGTATCCATGGAAAGTGGAGGACAATACACGTGTATTGATGCTTTTTCACTGTCGTTCACTGTTCAGTTACCTGTTTGAAGTCGCAGCTTAAAATGAGAGTAGTTTGACGCTTGATGAAAAGGGTCATGCTATAGTCCTTTTTGAATCTGGTCAAACTGAGCAGCAGGTAGCTGTCCACTTTAATGTGAGTCGGGGTGCTGTTGGTAGACTGTGGCAGAGATTCCAAGCCAATGGGTCCGTGAAATATGCACGTCGACCATGGTTAAGACTGCATTACGTAACATATTCATTTACGCAGCAGACCTTCAGACAGAACTCTTGAATGCTAACAATATCAGGATAAAGTGGATCACAATTTGTCAACAAGGGCAACCGGACTCTGCTGTAGGCGACCTGCAGTTCGTCCATTACTAACACCACGTAACAGGCAGGCACGTTTGAGATGGAGTAGACATGGCCGGTGGAATCAACGTCAGTAGTCTCGCGTGCTCTTCACAGAAGAAAACACATTTAATTTGTCCTCCGGTGATGGTCGGTCATTCTTGATTCTGGCTCCTATAGCAGTACCATTCCTGCAAGCTATGCATGGTTTTAATGGTCGACCCTCGTTACTGACCCGACCTCATAGGGCCACGATTGTCACAGGATTTCCTTAGGCAGCAGGGTGTAGAGCGGATGGAGTGACCAGCATGCTCACCAGACCTCAACCCAATTGAGCATGCCTGGGATGACCTCTGTCATGGGATGACCCAGCACCAGTGTATCTCCCATGACTCCTCAGAACTCTAGTAGATGAATGGAATGCGATTCCGCAAGCTTGCTGTATGAACTTGATAAGGAGCATGAGAACAAGGTGCACCTGTCTCTTGGACACGCGAGGACGGTACAAAAGATATTGAATAACCGAGTGCTTCATGTTTGTCATTTTCATTTTTTTTACTGATGTTTGCTAGCGCTGTTTGAACTGTTTGTCTGTATGTCACGATATTTTGCTTTTGACAATACATGAAACATTATACTGATACTCTCAGCTCTATTATTTCTCAGAAACGTTTCTTTATATGTGCTGCATATCATTTGATCCATTATTAATTCCGCCTAGTATATTTCACTGAATCAGTCGATGCATGCATGTTGTGTTAAGCAACAAACTAACTAACAAACAAACAAACAAACAAAGCTAACAACTTTGGAAACAATTTGATGTAGGAATAAATGTTTCGAGTAACATGACACATAATCATCCGTCCTGTGTAAACAAATACACATTGAAAGGGAGCGCGACCAATCAACTCAATTTATCCACATAAACTACCTATGCATAAAAGACCGCCTCCGTGGTGGAGTGGTTACTTGTCCGCCCGGAGAGCGGAAGGTCGCGGGTTCGATCCCCGGCCGCGTCATACCAAAAGACGTTACAATATGGTACTTGTTGGTCCCTGCCTGGCGCCCGGCATTGATGGGTACAACAAGGACTGGTCGGTTTGGAGTCAGTATAATGTGTCTGAGTGGGGTATTCTTGCTTCACTGCGGCATGGTATCTCAGTGGGCTAGCACTATAAAACCAGCTTCAGTCCGGGCTAGTACAAGCAGCCGCACATACACATACACACACATGCACGTCGTCATATGAGAGAAACATTCTCAAATACGACGTTAAACCCAATTTCACCTCACCTCACCCCACATATGTATAAAATGGTTGTGTGAAGAGTATAACTCTGGGAGGTTACATTGATTTTAACCTCTGACAGTAACCCTCATACGTACCTGTCATGTTTGATACGCTGTGCACGAGAGACTGAAGTGTTTGATTAAGGCCATTTATACCATATCTTGATGAGACCAGTTCAGTCTCCAAGGACACCACTGCATGTTTCATGTTTCCCAACGCATCCGAAGTAGAGTTGAGCTTCAGGTAGATCTCCTGTTGTAATGTTTCACGGTTTCCATCTCCCAGGAGAGAAGTCTTGATCCTACTAACTTCTGAAGACACATTGAATTGAAATTCTGTCACATTTGAAGCTAATTTCCAAAGATCTGAATTCATTACCAGAACGTCGTTGTTAGCCCTGTGAAGATTCAATTCAAGGATAGCAACTTTGTTTGCAGTTGTCTTCACGTCGGCAGATATTGCATTCAGTTTAGACGTGTTGACTTTGGACAACAGGGAATCCAAATTGACACTCTTTACATTAGCCATGTCTGTTTGAAGGTTTCGCAAATCTGTGTGAATGTTGTCTATATTCGTTGTTTGTTGTGAACTCAAATATTTGGCTACAGCTAGATCGCCTTCTACACTCTTCAGGTCTGTGTGGAGAATGCTGAACTCAGTTTCTAGCCTTACCTGGCTGTCGTGGCTTGCCCAAAGTTGAGACTTCAGAGCATCAAGGTCGTTGATTGTTTTATTATGTTCCATTTGCAGGTTATTTACGTGTCTCTGAAGAGTATCCAGAGATGATTCTGTCGTCGCCCGTTTTATCTTTTCATCAGTAGGTTCTTCCGAGGTAGATCTGTAGTCTGTCAAAGTAGCGTTCTGTTCAGCCAGCACATCTTGCATCTGAATTGTCATGTTATGAATTGTGTCCTCTGCCATCCTGAGCTCAGATTTGACCGCTCTTAATTCATCTGCGGTCGACTTCTGTTCAGCTTGGGTTAACTGCAGCTGAAACTGCACAGATGACAAAGTGTTTTGCAACATTGTCAAATGTCTCACCATGTCACTGTTATCTACACTGGTTGTAGTAGAAGACGTCAGTTTAACGCCACACAAAAGACAAACGAAGACAACTTTAAAAACGTCCATGGCTGCTTTGGTGGTCTTTCCCTTATCTAATGACCCATATATCTCCAGATAGGAGTGTCTCAAATCTGAACTACTTGCTTAAATTAGAAGCCAGATAACGTTATCTGTAAATTGACGTGATAATACACGAGGGTAACAGAGAGAGATTGAAAATTGTTTTGAAATACCAGCATTATCGTTTTGTGTAATTCACATCGGAATGTTGCCATAATGGAAGGAAGCATTGATTCTATAATTTTTGGTCACTGGCCGGTATATTGAACATTAGTATCTGAAAGTGGTCATGATCTCTTTTCCCACACAGTGTCAATGTTCGCCATTTTGGTTTTTTAAATTGACAGCGTATAGCGGGACACGGAATACAGACGTGCATACTAGACCATGCGTTATCTACCAGAAGAAACACAATGCTATGAAAAACCAACTGTTTACAATCTTGAAATTGGCACATATTCCACTTGGATATAACCTGATTTCATCTTAACAACTGTCGTGGCGTAAGGGAGGCTACACTTACTTTGAAACAATGGAATCCAAGATGGCTTCAATGTTTTCGCCAATCTCTTGTCAACCACTCCTTGAAAGGTATCATGGTCCATATGTTACTGTTAGGAAAGTCAGTGAATAAGTAAATGTTATAAGAGACATTTACATCCGTAAGGCAATGGAAGAAAACATTGCTAGTATTTGATGAGCCACTTCATGGAAAAAATGGCAAGGAATTATGGATGTGAACTTCTTTATTTTGAAGGACACCACGTTTCGGAGTTCATTCTTACTCCTTCATCAGTTGAAACGTCCATGTTGCGCAGTTTGAAAAATTGCCCATATGTTCCTACTAATACTTTTCTCTCCTTTGTTCCCACGAAAAAAAGACACAAAACGGATTCCAAATTCTACGGAATTGGGAAATAAACTATGTGTAGTTTTCATACATTCTGGTCAGCAGGAATTGTACTAGTTGTGATATCAAACAAAACCACTAAATCAGAATCTAATATTTGTTTTAATTTACCTTTTATTACCTTTACAATATCTTACATTCCTAAGTTTCTATTACACTAAACCTCTGTCAAACAATCTAACACCCAAATGGTTACCACTAACGAACGATCTCAAGGCGTGCTGCCTTATCAACATATCGAAACGAACTAACTTCAATCCCACTTCGAACTACACACGTGGCGAAAATGCACGCTTTTTGCATGCTCGAGCTTTCCGCGAAGTAAGTTGTTGTCAGGTGTGTTTTCGCGAACTGTTCGTATGTACACAAACTGAAACCTAATAACCTGTCTGGTTAACAGTAGTGAATAAATCAGTACAACGAATGAACAATACATTTATGTGGACAATCCTTTTGTCCATATCCCCCTCCTTGATAGAACGGAGTTTATCAACACAAATAACGAACTTACTTGATTCAAAATAATATCCTAATAGCATCCACTAATATATCCAAACATTCTGCAAGTACAGCGAATAAATCCAATGTCACAAATGTCAGAATAAATCCATTGTCACAACATTTTCAGTGTCACAATAATTCCAATGTCACAATATATCTAGTGTCACAATAATCCAATGTCACAATAAATCCATCATTGCGAAAATACTTTTCCGGAATGTTATATCAAATGTTCACAGTTCAGTTCCACACATCCACGAATCTCAAAGTCCACGTTTTGAATGTCACAGTGTCCACAGAATCCTTTTCTTTTTTAATCCTTGAAACTAACAGTTGATGGAATCCATTTCCAGACTGCACACTTTCGTCACTGGCCTGGTCAAAACTGTTTTTCCAGTCTGTATGTCCACCACTCTTGTAAAACCATCCTTCCCAGGGTGAGTCTTGATAATTCGTCCCATAGGCCAGTGTCCACGTGGTGTGTTAGGCGATATCACCAGCACGATGTCATTCACGTTGATATCCTGTCGACGAGTGAGCCACTTCCTCCTTCTGTTAAGACTGGGTATCCACTCCTTCATCCACCTGCTCCAGAAGTGCCGTATAAGCTCCTGTATCCTTCTCCATCGTTTCCTTGGGTTGAAGGTCGTTGTATCCACCGATTCCGGAGCAAAGGCGCCTCCTGCCTGTCCGTGAAGAAAGTGATTCGGCGTCAGAGGTACATCATCCTGTGGATGTGCTGTCTGATAGGTCAATGGGCGGGAATTCATCAAGGCTTCTGCTCCAATGAACGCTGTCATGAGTTCTTCATCTGTTACATCACTGTTTCCCAGAATAGCGAAGATTGCTTTTTTGGCCGCTTTGACCATTGTCTCAAACGCACCTCCGAAGTGAGGTGCATATGGAGGGTTAAACTTCCATTTTGTTCCACGATTTGCTAATGTTCCTTTCACAGCATCACTGTCCAGACATTCAACGAGTTCTTTGAGCTCTTTCTCAGCCCCAACGAAGTTTGTTCCATTGTCACACACGATGTCCTCAGGGAGTCCTCTGCGACTGGCCATGCGATAAAATGCATTGAGAAAGGAATTCGTGTCCAGGCCATATGCGATCTCCAGATGTACAGCCCTCGACGCAAGGCACGTGAAGAGGCATAGATAGCGCTTCATTCTTGCTTTTCCTCTTCCCTGTACTGTCAGAAAAGGTCCAGCGAAGTCGAGTCCTGCTTGTGTGAAAGCACGGAGAGAAGGTTTGAGTCTCATGCTTGGAAGAGGAGCCATGATCTGGTGTGCTACTTTCGCCTTCTGCTTACGACATTGTGAACATTGTCGCTCCCAGGCTCTAATTTCCTCTCTGCCAGAAAGGATCCAAAATCTTGCAGAAAGTGCTGCTAATGTCTGATTGGTTCCTGTAATATGACGTCCTTCCTCATGGTAAGACTTCACAATCAATCTTGTGATCCAGTTTCTTCGCGGCAAGATGATCGGAAACCTTGAATCTTGAGAAAGGTGCTCAGCATAAGCCAATCGTCCATCAGATCTCATCACTCCATCTTCATCCAGCTTCGGTTGTAGTCCTAATAGCTTGCTATTAGATGGTAACGGTTTTCCCTTTTCAAGGCAGGAATATTCATCTGGAAATTCTTCTCTCTGCATCTGTGCTATTATCTTGAACTGTGCTGTTTCAATTTCTTCTGCAGTCAGTTCTCCATGAATCCTTTTGAGGCCCCCCTCAACACAGTTGTTCAAGAATCTGTATACCCATGCTTGGATTCTTGTCAGTCTTCTCCAATCTGAGTATCGTGTAGCTTTGAGTCTCCACTCTTCACAGGACGAGTCGTTCACTAACATGGTAATTATCTTGTTTTCCTTCAGAGTTTTAGTTTCTGGTAAACATTTCCTTCTGTCTTCTCTTTCAGACAGATTTCTGGGCCATTCACTTTCATCTCTAGCCAGGAAAAGGGGTCCTGACCACCACATCTGATTGTCAATCAACTTTGATGCAGCTATTCCTCTAGTCAACATATCTGCTGGATTTTGGTCTGTTGGCACATAGCGCCATTGACACGGATTTGTCAGTTCTTGAACTTCACTAACTCTATTTGCTACAAATGGTTTGAATGTTCGGCTATGGTTCTTTATCCATCCCAAAGCATTTGAACTGTCTGTCCAAAATGTAACCGTGTCAATCAACACGTCCAAAACCTTTGCTATTGCAACAACTAATCTGAGTCCAGTCACAGCAGCCATTAATTCCATGCGTGGAATGCTAATAGCTTTCAGTGGTGCTACTCGTCCTTTCGCAGCAATGATTACACTGGAGATTTCATTATTCTGGTAAGTATTCACAGCATACACAATGGCACCATAGGCATTTTCAGATGCATCTACAAAGCTGTGTAGTCTAGTTTCTTTCACCTTGTTACCACAACTCAAACATCTTGGAACCTGAATGTGTATTAAATCTTCCCGTTCCATAAGCCACTGATATGCTTTCTCTTTCAGATCATTGTCTAGTTCCTCGTCCCAGTCTAACCCTACTGTCCACATTTCTTGTAAGATGATCTTTGCCCTTACAGTGAAGGGTGCAAGAAATCCTAGAGGATCAAACAGTTTTGCTATTTGACGAAGGAAGATTCTTTTTGAGATTGTGTTGTTCATTTCAGGTAAGTTGGAAGTGAATGTAAAGACATCTCTTTCAGCTGCCCACATGAGGCCGAGTGTCTTTGTCGAGGGTAAGTAACCACTGTCTAACTTGACTTCTGATAGTCGTTCTTCAACAGGTATCTGACTGAGAACCTCGTGAGAATTTGAAAGCCACTTCCGAGGACGCATTCCAGCTCTATTCCAAAGCTCGATCAACTGTCTGTACAACTCAATGGCTGTTTTCTCATCCTCCACAGAGTCCATGCTATCATCCATATATGTAGCTTTTTTCACAGTTTCTGCAGCTAACGGAAGATCACCCTGATGTTTATTGGCATTTTCCTGACTCACAAACTGAGCTAAAAAAGGAGATGCATTCACCCCAAATACAACTCTACTGAACTCATACTCTATGGCCTGCTCATCTCGTTTCATGGATCTCCAAAGGAACCTATGATAGGGCCTATCATCTGGAGATAATTTGACCTGAAGGTACATCTCTGCTATATCGCTCATCACTGCAACTGGATTGCGTCTAAATCTCAACAAGACATCAAAAAGTTCCCTCTGTAGCTTTGGGCCCTGATGGATAACTTCATTAAGAGAAATACCCTTGTACTTGGCCGAAGCATCAAATACAATCCTCACTTTTGTTGTGAGACGATCTAAACGTACAACCGGAAAATGTGGCAGATACCACTTTCCAGTATGTGTCTTTTCTTCGGGAGATACTTTTCTTATATACCCTTTTTTGTGATACTGTGAGATGATATCATCATATGCTTGAGCTATTGTCTCATCCTTTGCTAATTTCTTTTCTGTGCTCTCAAGACGACTGAGAGCCATCTGATAGTTATCAGATGGTAAAGCATGTACCTCTTTCTTCCATGGTATGCCAATTTGATAGTGACCATCCTCATACACCAATGTATCTTTCACCCTATTGTGCACATTTTTGTCTTCAGGGCTCATATTTTCATTTTCTTTCGACTGGAATCGCTCAATTTCCCAAAACTTTTGCAACAACATATTTAGCTCTTGGTTATCAGCATTGGAACCAGAAAAGAAAGTACTGGTAAAGTGAGACTGAATGTCAGAGCCTGTCCCTGCAATATTTCCAATACAGGTCCAGCCTAGAGGAGTTAACCTTGCTAGAGGTTCACCTGGATTTCCGCCTACATCTGAGTAGGAATAATGAAGATCTGCATTGTCCATGCCTATTAGGATATCTACAATTGGAGGGGAGGCAATTTTAGGAAAATCTATGTCTTTTAAATGTGGCCATAACTTACCGTACGTCTTCCAATCAACAACCTGCAAATCACCTGTAACCTTGGTTGTTGTGAAAGCAGTTATACTAACGTCAACTTCTCCATCTCTACTCTCAAGTCCAAATGCCACTGGCATAGTTTCAAACGAGGCTTTCTCATCATTCAAAACTTTCACCGTCACTTTTTTGGTTTCACCTTGCAGTCCTAGCTCTGCAGCAACGTCTGCATTAATATATGACCTTGTGCTCGCGTCATCTAATAACGCATTAACTGTGACTCTGCGATTCCCATGTTTAAGTATCACTGGCACTGTTCTAAGCCCTATGAGTGAAGGTTTTGAAGCTACGTTGCATTCCATATTAGTTGCATGTGACCGTTCATGGTTTCCTTTTGAATTATTGTCTGTATTTTCCACTTTGCTTTGTTCAACGGAACCCTTTTCAGCTCTGACAGCTGAATGAACCCTGTCCCTATTTACATGCAAGAGCCTGTTGTGGTTGCTTGTGCATCCATCTATTCCACACAACGTTGTTCGCCAACAGTGTTTACCACGATGATTGCTTCCGAGGCAGCGGAAGCAAAGATTTAATTCCTTTGCTTTGTTCCATCTATCTTGAACTTTTAAAGTGATGAACTTTCTACAGTTCCATACATCATGAGGCTCTGTACATACTCTGCACAAGTACTTCTCACCAGCATAGTGTGTACCACGATTCTGGTTGCTATCATGCACTAGAAATGTACGAGGAGCTCGTTTGTACTCTGATTTTACTGACTTATCACAGACACCACGAATGGTCTCAGCTGCAATAGTTTGAAACTCTGCTTCTTGGAGCACCCATTCTCTGAGAGTTTCAACTGATTCTTGCCTTTGTCTATCATATACCCAACGTTGATACTCTGTAACCATGGCCTCAGTCATCTTTGTTTGCAACTTCATATAAAGTAAGCCATTTCCTAATTCTTCAACCCTGTCAGATTCGCGAAGATTAACTACAGCTACATCAAGCATGTCTGCAAATCTATCTAGGTCTTTTGCATGACCAGGTCGAATGGGTTTGAAATTGTCTATTTCTGCAAGATGTAATGCAATCTGTCGTCTCTTGCCGCCAAATTTTCTCTCAAGTCTTTCAAGAGCGACCTGATAAGCAATTGCATTATGTCCCAAATCTTTAACCACTCTAAGCGCTTCCCCTGCTAAATACTGACGCAACTGCAGTAGTTTGTATTCCGGTGTTGCTGGTGAATTATCAATGCATGCAATAAATGCTGCTTTCCATCCCTGATACGATCTAACATCGCCAGCAAACACTGGAATAGTAACTCTACCCAACTGCTTCCACATGTCACGTCCTATTGCACCTTTAGCGGTTTGTTCTGGGATATTTGTGCGTGTACTGTGCTCATAGTGTGGATTGACATTTAACATGACGTTTGGTTGATCAAATTCATCTTCATTTCCTGCAGTTTCTTTGTTAACTGTGGGTCTTGTTTTACCCTGTTTAGTTGGCTTCTGTGCGCCAGGTAAACTGTGCCCTTTACTATTGCCTTCATCACGACTAAACAGCATTGACATCCCTGTTCTTAAACTAAGTGCAGAACTAGCATCTGATCTAGAGTCTAAGTACTGCTGAGCATGTGCCTGTGCACTGTCATTTTCATCTTCAAGCCTAGTTATTTCCATGCTAATGTTTTTAACATTTGCTACATCATTGATTTTTGAATATTCTTCTGACAGTTTTATCATTATTTCCATTGCATGATCTTGCACAATGCACAATTGGTCCATTTGATTTCTAACAGCCCTACGGGTTTGAACATTCTGACCCTCGGTCATGTTGTAGAGTTTATTTCTAGCTTTCGTGAAAGCAGACTTTGCACTGGCTTTTTGCTTTTTAAGTTTTATCAAAACATCTTCAACGACTGTCCTCGACTGACTGTTTTGATCAGGGACCGGCTTAGTTTCCGTTTTTATTAAATCCGTTTCATCTGGACTTACCTGTTTAGGTTCTGACATTATTATTCTTTGTTTTTTAAAACTAACCTAACAAACTTTCTATCAGCTAACTTACCTTTCACAGTCTAGAACAATTCCTGCATCCAAACTAATTCTAACTTGCAACACCATGAACCACCATCAGGCAATAACCATGTGCAACAACTAATAAACCACGAACTAACCACGAAGACACCACGATAAACCACGCTCTGCTACCATTTTGGTCAGCAGGAATTGTACTAGTTGTGATATCAAACAAAACCACTAAATCAGAATCTAATATTTGTTTTAATTTACCTTTTATTACCTTTACAATATCTTACATTCCTAAGTTTCTATTACACTAAACCTCTGTCAAACAATCTAACACCCAAATGGTTACCACTAACGAACGATCTCAAGGCGTGCTGCCTTATCAACATATCGAAACGAACTAACTTCAATCCCACTTCGAACTACACACGTGGCGAAAATGCACGCTTTTTTGCATGCTCGAGCTTTCCGCGAAGTAAGTTGTTGTCAGGTGTGTTTTCGCGAACTGTTCGTATGTACACAAACTGAAACCTAATAACCTGTCTGGTTAACAGTAGTGAATAAATCAGTACAACGAATGAACAATACATTTATGTGGACAATCCTTTTGTCCACATTCCATGTTAAATATTTTAAAAAGCCAAAGACATTTATTTACTTGTGTTTTTCTCTCGCCAATTTGTTTCCAAGAATGAATCCTAATGTTCTGAACATTGTCTCGTTTCACTAAAAGGTTTCAATAATAAATGCCTCTAAATGTTCATTTTAAAAAGTTTAAAGCTTAAACTACTTCATGTTAACTACACATAGTTCACATTACAGAGATAAAGCACGACACGAAAGCCATACACGTCAATAGATTTCTACAAAATGGATCTAATGGAAAGGCAGCAGTGTATTTTTGAAGTAGTCAAGGTTTCAGTTATATATTGTGTTCAATGATGTTTTGGGTGATTGAGTTGTGAACACAGTGTAAATACCAGTAAGTATATGAATCTTGGTGCAAAGAACTTAATATATGTTACTATTTGTTTGGATTTCATGCGAGTTTTCAATTGCTAACTTTTGAAAATTTGAAATTGATTTGAGCATAGATGCGTCAGTGTGTTGAATCTTCAATCTGTGATACACATGTGTCTCACTGCCTTTCTCTATAGATAAACATGTCACTGTCAGATTAACACTTCTTGGTACATAGATGCTACTAGTGTGTTGTATCTTCAATCTGTGATACACATATGTCTCACTGCGTCTTCCTTATAGATAAACATGTCACTGTCAGATTAACACTTCTTGTTACATAGATGCTACTGGTGTGTTGTAAACTAATTCACTATTCTGTCAGGTTTTGTGAAACATGGAACAGAAAGTATAATCCTGACAGTAACATTAGCTCAATATGAGGAAACCTGTGAAGATCCGGGTTAGAATTGATCTTCAGTAACCCATGCTTGTCGTAAGAGGCGACTAACGGGATCGGGTGGTCAGGCTCTCAAACTTGGTTGACACATTTTATCGGTTTCCAATTGTGCAGATCGATACTCATGTTGTTCCTCACTGGATTGTCTGGTCCAGATTCGATTATTTATAGACCGCCGCCATATAGCTGGAATATTGCTGAGTGCGGCGTAAAACTAAACTCACTCACTCATTATGAGGGGGCGATGGGGTAGCTTAGTGGTGAAAGCGTTCGCTTGTCACGCCAAAGACCTGGGTTCGATTCCCCCATTCCCCCAAAGCAGTGATATTGCTGAAAGTTAACCTAAACTCACTCACTCACCCAATAGTCAACAGGTTTTGAGTCGAACCCAGGTTATTCTTCTGAAAACGCTTTCAAAATGAGGATTCCTTTAAAAGATTTATAAGAATACGGTGTACCTATGCTGCTGAAAGAACAGAATCGGTCCATTGCCTGTCGGCGAGCATCAGCTATCTTGCTGGGTGTATTTCTAGTCGGGATGTGCATGAAAATTTATCTTGAATTACTCGTGTGTAAATAACAAATGATTGTTTTCTTCCACTTTCTTTGAACATTATCCTGTCTCCTCGTTCATCATGTGTTTGTTTTTAAGGCCGCACCCAGCACCAGTCCAGCTGGAAGCGATCTGTAAATAATCCAGTCTGGACCACCCAATCCATTGATCAGCATGATGAGCATCGATCTACGCAACTGGGATACAATGACATGTGTCGACCAAGTCAGTGAGCCTGACCAGTCGATCCCGTAAATCGCTTCTTATGACAATCATGAGTTTTGGAACAGGTCGAGTGTTCCTGTGTATGGAGACTGGTAATGAAGGAGTTAATGGAGATCTGCATCTCTGATTCGCCAAGCTGATCCACTCATACACACTGTCATTGGCATGCTAAAGGTTTTATTTGTAGCCCATCATATGTTAGTAAAAGCTGCATCTAAAATGTGACGACATTGGCATATATTAACTCTTGTTACACACGTTTCATACCATAATTGCATGAGAATACTCTTCAGATATATTAGTGGATGTTTATTAACTGAATGACCATGCATCTTAAACCAAAGATACTGCTCAGTTGATTTCTGCTTCGGACGTAGTTTTAGTCTAATGCAAGTGAGCGAGCCGGTTAAAACATAAAGCCACATCGGCAGCATAAGCGTATTTGTTGTTTTGTTCATGGTTACACCCTGTACCTTGCAACGTCATTACATAAACGGATATCATGATCTAAAACATGTTAATATATAACACAATACTACATATCACATGTTACAGAACATGATGTTATATACGTCCCTTCTAAACATTTTACGGTGCCTTAGTGAAGAGTGTGTGATGGCTGCAATGGTGCTGTGAAGGTAGTCTGACACAAGTTGTTGATCCAACACTCAAAGCATTTATTTGGGATATGTATGTATCACTGTTCAACGTTCTGTTGGCTGATCATTCTGATCAATTTATGCTACACAAATCACTAGGGCTACTGCATGCAATACAGTCTGAAGTATATACTCAAATTATAAGAATTTCATTATTAAATCTGTTTGCACTTTATTCGGACTTTCAGATGCGGTATTCATAGGCATGTTAAATACTGATAATGAAGGTCAATTTCACTGCCATGGTTTTACATTGATGTATTATCTTTTTATTACGATTGCACACAATAACCCAAATGTTTGGCGTTGAATGGAACATTTATTGAACTTCAATGTATATCAAGATGAATACTCTGTTTCTTTGGTCTAACCCTCTGTGAGCTGAAAGCCTTGTTCGCAGGTGAAAATAGCCATACATTCAACTGGCATTTACAACAAAAGTCACATGGCCTGATGTACCAAGAGAATGAGGCCTTGTGTAAAGATGGCTTGTATTAATTTTTTTTATTTTTATACCCGATAATTTTATTCATAATCGTGAGTTTGTCTTAAATTCGGAGGTGATTATTTAACCTGTAGCTTAGCACTATGTCAGTTAGAGACAGAAGATCAAGTTTTTCCGCAAAATACATCATAAGGGACCAACGATGTTAGAGGACATATTGTTGTGATGCCCTGTGATGCGCCAAGGTCAAAACGTCTTATTATGCATGTTTCCTGTTTGGCATTCAGAAATGGCGGCGATGAGCCCGTTCCTGTTTGTACATGTGATGCAGACATCACACGTGTTTACTGTTGCTCTCGAACTGATAACTATAACAATTCCTTCACCTTTTAAGGTTTTTATTGCTACATAACTAGTGCAGTACAAGTATACTTCTATAGTTTTCTTCTTACACACTTCTAATATGATAGTGACGCGTGTTGATGGACTTGAAATCATAAGTCTTGTAAGGTGTTTGTGCACCCACAACTGAATCAGGAACATCACACGATCACTCAGGCTGTGTAGTTGAACTTGTTTGATAAGGAATAAAGAATACGAACCAATGACCCCTAACTCTCAACTCAACATCTGTGGTGATCACAGTCTAGCTTCAGATAGCTCACATAACAGTGTCACTCTTCTCCCACTCCCACTTCGTTCAGTGGTATGAGGATTACGAAGGATAGTGCTTGATACAATAATGAATTTGATGCCACATGATACTTTAAAAACAACAAAATACATCTACAAGCACGATGTTTCCCTTCTACCTACTCTTGATATTGTTCCTGCATACATGTTTCAGACAAACGACTGTTTGATGAACATATATGTATTAACAATGATAAAAATATAAAATGACATTTTTCTTCAATGAAGTTTAACAGCAAAAACGAGTCATTAATCAGTCATTTCTGATGCCAAAGCTATCAATTGTACACGTGTACTATCGTGATTAGTTCCCCTTAAAGGAGAATAACTTGACTGATACCACACGTGGATCTTGGTTTTGTCCCAAAAACTCATATACAAATAACCTTTATGAGAGACAATATTCTTAACCGAATAGCTCGGCCTGATTAATGTTTTTTTTGTTCTATTCTTGAACAACTCCAATTCCATGATTTTAGTATTGTCATTATAATACATCACGTCTCCATTATCACTCAGAGAGAGACTCTGCGAACGATGCGATGAGGCTAGCCAGTGTCTATCCTGCCCGTCATATGTGAGTGAATACATATGTCCACTGTCAGCGACATACAGGATTTGTCGCTTTGTATCAAGACAAAGAGCTCTTGCCTTTATCTCACAATTGATGATCTTGAAATATCTCCCATCCGGTGCCATATTAGATATACAGGGAGATGGCCATACAACAGCAAGGATCACCAACTGTTGAGCATCGTCCACTGCAATTGACACGACACGTATTGTCTTCTTTATTGTAAGGCTGCGATTAGTATTTAGTGAGAAGGCTCGGATGTTGTCCCCACGTAAAGCACTCAGAAGCACCTGTCGGAGTGATGGTACATATGCCATGACAGTGACAGATCGTGTTTTTATGTGATGATACGTTGTAATGGAGCTGTTCAGAAGATGTAACGCATGTAATGGTGTCCTCGATCTTCCGAGGTATGG